CAGAGTCGATGAGCGATGCGGGTCCGTGGGTCACATCTCACCAAGGGTTCGTCCTTCTTATGTACCATCCCTGGATTCGATCTAACCATTCTGGTAGCCCGTCTCAATTTGTGTTCACGCCCAACAACGGCCTCATCCGTCAACTCAGTTCCCCGATCACGGGGTCGCGTGCCAAGTACGTCATCGCTCCCATGTTTCTGATCTCTTGTTCATCGCGCAATAGATCTGCTAGCGGAGAGGCGCAAAACGAGTCTCCTTTCCCTTCTCCGAATCAGCGCCCGATTGCAGGCCCCCGCCGTCTCCGCACTTTTTCATCTGGTGCTTGGATCCAGACTGTTTCATCGGGAATCGAATGCGCGCAGGACGCGGCCGAGAAGATCATCGCGCACAAGCACAAGCTGGAGTCTGACCCCGCTGAGGATGGCGCCGAGTAAGTATTTGATTTCTAGTCTTCTTCTGTGCTCTCTCACTGACAAGTCGCAGGCGCGATGTCAAGCGTGCTAAGCTCCTTTGATCATATACATCTTAGCATCGATGTTTCTACCACTCATGTTCTCTCTCTCTACTCACTTATGTATATGTAACGAAGAGCAAGTCATATGAATTACAATCGCATCCACAAGTCTGCAGGTTCTTCGCCAATACACGCCGAGCGGTTGCTCTTAGGGTATCAAATGGCATAAAGATCAAACACCAGGAAATGATACATGCAATATCCATGCAAAGCCCATCTCCGGGATTCAAACTCTTCAAAAGCTCTGCATAAGCGTGATCTGGACAGTCTACGACAGGAACTTCTCGACCAAGACAAGGATTCCGAGCAGCTTGCTTTGATTGAGAGCGCCAATGCTGGATTCTATATGCTGTCCAATGTTCTGTAGTTACCCAATGGATGTCCAAACTTCGGCTGATATGCCAGCACGTTCCCTGAATGCACCCCAAAACCCCAATATCCCCAAGTCCCGGAATCTGTCTCTTCACCGATATCCCCAATATCCCCAAGTCCCAGAATCTATCTCTTCACCGATCTAGTGAGTGCCGAAGACGACATTGCAAGCGCATGCGACATCGCAGGTCAGGAAACCTGCTGTCAAGGAAGCTGTTCAACGATTTCGTCGCGGCGATCAGCTGCTGCTCGGCCCATGCAGTGACTGAATTGTCGGTGGCCAACGGCCGGTCGACGAGCGTGATATCGGCGAGCAGCAAAGCTTTTGCCGGCCGTATCATCCGGGCGAGAGCGCACGCAATCTACGTGCTGTCGATCAGCAACCGCTCGCCAGTACATTATGAGCGCGGGGATGCACGCACCTGCCGCATAGAGTCGCGGTCGATCCGGAAATGCTCGAGCGAGATGCTCAGCTGCAGGGTCGTCAGAGAGGGTAGTCGCTCCTGCACGTCGAACGGCGCGCTGCAAAACGCCTTGGCCTTGATCGTGAGACGGAGGAATTGGAGCGACCGCATGTCCAGCGTTTCCATCATCTTTTGGAACGTGCGGCACTCGCTGCTCACGACTAATCTGACGGGGCGGGGAAGCCCGTCGTCCCCTGCGCGGCGAGCGCATAGCAGCAGAGGGAGACACGCTTCCGGCACATGCAGAGATTCAAGGCCCGAGAACAGTGCCCATCGGGTGTCGTTGCTGTCTCGGAACCACACGACGCTCCCGCTCAGCACCAGTTGCTGCACGTTGGGGAACATGTGCGCCAGGTCCTCCAGAACCCGGGGCGAGTTCCAGCGGCACTCAATCCTCAGGGAGGTGACTGCGAGGAAGCGCAAGCGGCGGATGCCAGACCCGAGAACGACTTGGCTGTCGAAATACAGCTCCAGCGCACGCAGACGTGACGGATCGAGCATGTCTAGAAGACTGAGATGGGAGGGTAAGCAGAGATGCGCAGCGGCGGCAGAAGACTCTTTATCGCGGGGATCCCGCACGCGGAGATGCAGTCGTTCGAGACATATCATCGACGTATCGGCACTATCAAGTGTGGGCGGCACGACACGGCCGCCCCATATCAACAGCTCTTTCACCCCGATCTGTTCCAATCCCAGCCGCGCAATGTCAATCTGGGCATCCTGCATATCGAGCCGCATGAAAAGCTGCCGAAGACCACAGAAGCTCCGGAGGGTCCGCAGAAGTGCCACGACAAGCGGATTGCCGCTGTCAGGCGACACGACGAGCGTGCTGCGGTGCGACTGGACCAGGAGGGAGTTGACGAAGTGGATGTCGACTTTTTGGACATACGGCGCAATGTCGCCGCGCTGCAGGCCTGCGAGGCGGGGGAGGAGCGTCGACTCCTTCCACGACGTGAATCCGAAGTGGATCGTGCGGAAGACGAGCGGATGGGTGAGGGCGTGGAACGGCCATGAGAGCAGATTGGCAGAAAGCAGATCTGATCGCTCGAGTTCCTCGAAGACGCTGGCCCACAACTCGGGCGGGAGCCTCAGGTGTGGGGGCATGGCCTTGGCGAGGGAGTGCGGGGACGGTGATGCGCGGCGATCACCATTTTGTTGATGGCTATCACGTTCTGCTCACCACAAACACTCACTAAACAGACAACTTGCATGCTCGTGCGAATGGGAAACTTCTCGAATCCATACCGCACCTCTTTGCTTCGGAACCACCCAAAAGTGGGACTCTCGAGTACCAATGACGACTCCAAGTGCTACGGGATGAACAAAAAAACTTTCAAAGACGAGCTCGAGCGAATCCCTTTCCTTATTCTCAAGCCATCACGGATCCTGGCGCTCGAGGTACTCCAGCACAATATGCGCAACATTTGCTGGGGCGGCAACAGACTCTGCATGCTTTCCAAGTCGAAGGAAGCAGAAGGGACGCCGCTCGAGAGCCCAGTGGTGTATTGTGAGTGGCGAGAGATTGTGCCTTTCCCCTCTAGCGCACGGTCTTGAGGCACATATCAGCATCTTCCCTTCCAGCGGTCAATCAAAGACTTCGGGATGGTGTGGCTTTGGCCGTCGAAAGCGGTGCCCTGAGCAACTTCCTCGGGCGTCCACAACATCACACTGTCGGGTTTCCTCTTGACACTACCTTGCCCACCCTCCAGAGTCCCTGTCTTCCGTGCTACGCATTCCCGGAATTCTCAATTCATACGGTAGTTCCTATGGGCCCTCGAAACTTCGACCCGCGAAAGTCTAGGACCAAGCACGGGCCTCGCTCACTCTTTCCTGGGACTAGTTGACCACTGCTTAACTTGACATGCGCGCTGACCCTGGGGAATCGACCGTTTTCCTGGTCATCGAGCAAATGATTCACCCGGTTGCGCATCAGCTGGGTCGTCATGCGTCGCCTTATCTCAAGGAAACCTAGCCGGCACAGCCTGCCACGCTGCCTAACCTGGAGAATCTTCACTTTGACTACAGGGTCACTAGTTCCGCGAACCAGATGCTTTCCATGCTGGTGCTTATCCCTTGACCAAAGCGGAACTGGGGCATTTGAGAGAAGAAAGTTCTAGGAGCTCTTTCACTTCTGTGGCCGTAAGCAGTGCACTACCACGGCGCTCGATACAGAGACATCTCACTACACTCCGATGATGAGTGCGTCCACAACTTTCTAGACCCCCACCAGCTCAGTGTCTGCACCGAGAAAGCCAGGGAGCCACTCCAGAGTCTCGCATTCTCGATATTGCACAGCAGGATTGCATGCTGTAAGACTGGGCTTATAAACGAAGATCCGCATGAAAAGCACGATGATTCGTACCCCAAACACCCTCGAGTTTTTCTCGATAGGTGGCAAGATCTTGCACTCAGTGATCGGGATGGCAACTCGGAAAGATAGCCGAGCTGGAACACAGCTTCTGGAATCGCACCTTCAATAAGTTACCGGCGCGAGGATAGCAGATCTTAGGGATGGAATGGGCCCTTGACTGGTTCCCGTTCACTTCTCATGTTCCCCGTCCCCTCTCATGTCGGCACGGTGGATCAATTCTACAGCAGCGATTTGGAGGAGATCATACCTGACTTGAATGTAGCCATGTCCGGCTTGCACATCGATTTCCACTAGGAATACATTACGATATCTCCTCTCGACGTGCATGAAAGAGGGACGTTTCTCGAGGGCACTCTCTATGCGTTTGAGACGGCGGAGCGCCCGTGGAGTCTTGAGTCTGACTCTGGAATTATATGTTCTTGCTGTTCTGCCAGAACTTCGATTTTGTTTGCACGCCATTTCTACGGATTGCAGAGCTATCGCTGTACATTCGGCGAATCTTCTCTCGGGTCGTGGATTCTAGCAGGAGCGTCGCTGGGATTCGGATGGAAAATCCCATCCGAACCTGCCCTGGAAGATCTCGGTCCCCGCGCGCTCGATTCACGTTGACGCCTCTTGCATAGATGATTCTCTTGGCGACGGACATTGTATCGTAGCCGGGAAATTCCCGTGTGTATGTGCGGTGTGGGGTCTTCCTCTACTCACACACGCTGCCCAGATAGCTGCTATAAATCTGAGCGACGACGGGGCAGATACCGTACCATGGTCGCAGGCAATATGTCCAACATCCTTCTCCAAGATGGAGCGGGTACGATCACTGGGGCCAGCAAAGGACTTGGATAGAGGCAGAGGTGAGCGTCCTCTGAGCAGAATGTCTGATCAAAATCCAAGATTTAGACATTCACGGCTCGGTCAGAGCACTATCAAGCTGCGAAGTTACATCGTCCCGTGAGATGATCCTGTCGTTGATATGCCCGAGTGCGAGCCCGCGGATCTCTGCCTTCGACCAACATAGTCGCGGATCCTGACACGTACATGCCTTGGGAGTAACGCTGGCGACCAAGGCGGCCGAAGCTGGCTGAATCGACTCTAATAATGAGTCATGACCCGAACATAGAAATCTGGAACGTATTTGCACGAGGTGAAAGTGAGGTCGCCTGGTTCTGGTTGACCGGAGGAACGGCCGAGTAGCTTGCTTTTACCGTTGGCGGACAACTAATGTGATGATTTTGTTCCATATGATGAAGTGCATGTGTACAAATGAGTAACTAGCTGGTCGTAAAGAATCATAAGTATATGCAACATAGTCATAAATGATAACAGACACATCTCGATCAAATGAGATGATATACACAAGCACCCAATAACCCATAGTAAAAGATCCAAGTCAAGGGACAGAACGTCAGTCACGAACCCTCCCGAACAGCCACCTGCCGAGTCTCCCATCAAGCTCCATCCAATCTCGCGCGCTTCGCCGTCTCCGCCATCTTCGCAACGACGCGGCGCACATGCACACAGTCCTCCATATGCGTCTCTAGGTCCTTCTTCCCAACCACCTCCTGCGTGCACCCTTCGGCCGGGCACCCGACGTGCTTCGCGTTCATGTGATGTATCATCAGGTGGTGCGCAAACGTCGCCTCCGTCACCTTCTGCCGGCACCCCAGCGACGCGAGTGCGTCCCAGCGGTCCGCGCACACGAACTCCGCGAACGGGCTCGACGCCTTCGGGATGCGCGACGACGACGCGAGGCCGAGCCGCGCCTTCGTCGCGCGCGTGGCCTCCGTGATCGCGGCCGCGCTGGCGAAGTGGTGCGCCGAGTGTAGGTGCGCCTGCAGCTCCTCGATCTTGCCCCGGACCTCGGTGCCGCACTGGTGCGCGGCGACGCCGGCGCAGGGTGCCGTGCCGGTGCAGATGCGGCGCTGGCCTACCGAAATGACGAATGCGCGTTGGCGCCGCTGGGTCGGGTCGGCCGGCGCTGGGGGGAAGGGGCACGTGCATGCGTGGGCGGCATCGGCGATGTAGAGGCAGGGGAGGGTGCGCGTGTGGCCGAGGCGCCCGGCGTTCTTGACTTGTCGTGAGATGTATTCCTTGCGCATCGCGGTGAGCTTCTCGTCGTCGGCGGGGCGGATCCTGTTCAAGAAAGCGTCTTTGTCAATCACAGCTATGGGGATAGGACTTGTGTGAGGAGGTACGTACTCTTCAGCTTTGCGCTTGAGAGTGTTTGCGATGGGTTGCGGCGCGATCACCGCTTTGGAAGAGCCTGCTGTGGCGGCCGGTGCGGGTCGGGGCACGAACACCGCGGTGGTGTCCATCCACGAATACTTCTTGAAGTCCAGCCCGTAGTGATTTTTCTGGAGCTCGACACGACTATCAGGAATGTCAGACACGGGATCTACTGTGTAGTAGGGAGAAATGCGACCGACCGTTGACTTTCTTGAGCTTCGGTCATAGCCGCACTCGCGGTTTCTTTGCCCTTGCCCTTTCTCGAGCGCTTCGGCTTCGGCTGGGTGGTGGCGGGCGTCGCAGCGCCGGAGGGTTCAGCAGCTGCTTGGCCCACCCGCGCCGTCTGCTTCGTCTTCTTCTTGCTCCCTCGCGCAGGCGAGACCGGCGTCGTCGTCGTCGGCGCCGTCGTTCCGAGAGACTTGCGTCGACTGCGTTCGGAATTGAGGGGCTGGGTCGGGACTGCGTTCTCCGCAACGAATCGGGCGCCCACTGACTGCGCGGGCTTGTCGTCGGACATGACGTCGTTCGATGGGGCGGCGGGCAGCGAGGAGTTCAGGGCGAAGATCGGAAGTTGGAAGCGCGGGGTGGCATTGCTGGCCTCGACCAGGTTGGTTTCATGTCGCGAGTTGTTGTTTGTGGGTGCAGTAGGGCGGGTGGGGAGTGGTAGAACCTCGATCATGTCGTCGTCGTCGTCGTCGTCGTCGCCGAACAGCTCAGCCTCGAGACTCTTGTCCAGAGTCTGCGCATGCTGGATACTGTCGTTCAGAGCAGAGATGGGAACGGGATACGCAGCAAAGCCGAACGCCGGTTCGTCCCCATCTTCCTCAGCACCAAAGAGTTCAACCTCGAGACTCTGGTCCATCGCGTCCTTGGAGTCGTCGGCAGCGCCGTGCCATGCAGTGGAAGTCTCGTTCATTGGGTTGTCGCTGCCGGCGCCTTCGAAGCGCTCCATCTCAGCTTGCAGCTTGCGCTCGAGGTCGTCCATCCCATCCCCGAGCTCCACTCCTGCACACTGCTCGTCCCCCGCCAGCTGCTGGAACCCAAGCTCAAGCTCCCGATCCAAGTCCATATCATCCTCCGAAGACACGTCGAAGATCTCATAGGAGTCGCAGTTGACCGCAGGAGCGCTTACGGCGGCGCAGATGGTGGACGGCGACGATCTGTTTCTGGGGACAAGCCTGCTCTGATGGGTGCGTATTCCCGACTGTTGCATAGTAGCGCGATATGATAGAGCAAATAGCCTGACCGTGCAATGATGTGCTACGCTATATAAAGGGTCTCCCGACATGTCTGCGAAGCGCACAGCAACATAAAGACGAGCCCACGAATTCTCGGAGTGCATCCCAAAAAGGCAATCTATGATTGGAACACAATGCAAAATGTGGGTGCCGCGAGTTCCGCGGAAGCTGATCATGATCAGGATGACCGGAAGCGGAAGAACAATGCGATAATGAAAGGAAACTAGGGGAGATCGTCCGCCGCACTGCGTCTTCGCGGTTGCCATCAGGCTGGCGTTTGGGGTCGTCCTACCTGCAAGTTTCAAAAGATATGCTTCTTCTTGCTTTATCCGTCACCAGGCTACCTCAAGACACTGATTCAATCCAAGCCTGGAGTTTCTAGAGGACATCGTCTCAGCTTTTGAGAGTGTGAGAATACGGATCACTCGTCCGTGCCTTGGGGGGATCTCCGATCAGTGGCGATGCATCAGATCGCGCGGCCGGTAACTAAACACCTCATTGCTCGTGTAGGAAATTCTTTGTCGGATCACTGCCATGAGTGATCGCATCAATGCGGGACTCCACGAATTGGTTGCTCCCGACGACGCACGCCCCATTCGGCTGCGAACGCACAGCCTTCCTAACCCGAGTTGTTAGATTCAATGCATTGTCCTCTGCAGGATTGCCCGTTGCGTGCCGGCACGGCATACCCCCCTTCGAAGCCCTGCCGTGCGCGGGGCGTTGACGACGGATGAGCATCACAACCCTCTAATTCCCTGATATGGCTTCGGCGCACCTTATTGTCTTCCCGACCATCGATGGCATCAGCGCGCATCAGGACCATTCTTTCCATTGTCCCCATCACGTGCACATTCAAACCGGGGGCGATTTGGCCCCCCTATATATGTATTACCGCGTCAGGAGGCGCTGGTTACCGCTTTCTGTCCCTCTTCTGCCGCTGCTATGGAACCGATCACCGACAAGTCTCGTCTCACCCGCCTCGGGCACGTCGTGGACACGGAGGACGCGCTGATTCCGGCGCGTCGGGACGGCCAGTTCTGGCACCGCGACGGCGATGTCGTCGTCGTCGTTGCCGGGCTGCATTTCAAGGTGCGCGCGAAGCCAAACGCGTCTATTGTTCCTGCCCTGACGTTCATTGTTCCCTTCTCAGATTACGCACGACTTTTTGTTCGCCACGGACGAGAATGGCGAGCCGCTGCCTGACGTCATGAATCCCTTCACCCGGAACCGACTCCCAGCGCTGTTCGGTGCGCGCGGGACGCCGCAAGACCGGTGCCGATGTTTTTGTTGAGGTGCACGAGATGCGGGACTTCCTACGATTTGCGTATGCCCGGTTCGTGATCCATATATCCGTCTCACCAGCTCGTTTCTCATCTGGTCACCACAGAACCAAAGACATCGCCAAGTTCCGCGGATTCACGATCATGCAGCTCGTCAACGCGACCTCGCTGGCCCTCCAGCTCCAGCGGCGCGACTTCATCGATTACGCGCTCGAGGCGCTCCCGATTGCTCTCCGCAGACTCTTCGCATCGCCTGCGGCACTGCACCGCCGCCGAGTACCGCGCGCTCCTGCGCCTCAATCGCCGGCTGCCGATGCCCGACCTCAAGCCCAACTACCCGTTCGAGGAGGACGTGTCCCAGACGTACGCGTGGCGCTTCGACATGCAGGCCCCGTTCGACATCGGGACCGCGCTCGACTTTGGCGAGGAGGGGGCTGCGCACGATGCTCGGGCACGTGTACTACGAGGTGCGCAAGGCGCATGGACGCCGAGGACGACAAAAAGGAAGAGGACGACGACGACGACGACGAGGAGGATGAAGACGACGAGGACGTGTTCAGCTCCCCGAAGCGCGAGAACTCCTGCGTCGCGCGGCTTGCGCCGATCCACCGCCAGCGCCTCTTCGTCGGCGCGCTCTCGCTGCACAGCTTCTGGCTGCGCACGATGCTGCGCGCGCCGGCGTCCCTGCGCCGACCGCGAACGTGTGGCGTGCGCGTGCACAGCGCGTGCGTGCAGGTGTGTTCCGAGAAGGGCAGCGCGGACGTCCTGGCGAAGCTCGAGCACTGCGTGTCGTGCTCGAGGACAAGGTGTGCCCGACGATCTGGAGCGCGGCCGAGGCGGCCGTCGCCGCATCATCAAGGCCTTCCGCCTGTCGCTGCCGAGTCACTTCTTGGGTCCGGCGAACGAGGAGGAGGAGGAGGCGGTGTTCTGCGACTCTTCCGACGAGGAGGATGCGTGGGAGGAAGGGTCGACTGAGGAGGACGAGGACGAGGACGGCGAAGACACGATCCGGGTCAGCTTTCAAGCGACGTCAATCCTCTCGAAGAACGAGCACGGCGACGATCAAGATGCTCGTCCGAAGACGATGATGAGGATTTTTTGAAGACGAGGATGTTGGCATGTCAGCGGGCGGATCGATTCCGACGTGGATCATGCACGATGTGCACACGGAAGGTTGTGGACGACCACGAGATGCCGTTCTGGGGCCCGGTCTTCTCTTGAGTAT